ATATATATATATATATACATCTGTGTGGAGAATATGGGTAAAAACTGAGCTGATATCTAGATATTTATGGTATGCACAACATTTTATTCTGAAATATTATTTATTATTATTAAAAAGAGATTTTTGAAATCTTTCTTTTGAGTCTGTTTTTTCAGGTTTCTCATTGGAGTATATGATTACCTGCATGTTTTTGTCCGTCTGTAAGATTAGCAGACAGCTGCAGATAGCGGCACACAGCTCAAACAACAGCAATAATCATAGTATAGCTCTTACTATAATACACATTTGCACTTGTACTTGCTGTTGCAATTGGCATCATGTGACTGGTGGAGGACTATTTAACCAGATGTTACATTCACATCTGTGCTTACTGAAGCATCCATTGTGTTATATAACATTGGTGGAGGCGGGTGAAGCTCGTAATTTCGACATTTTACAGAGGCATTGAATTCATCCTTCCTATAAGAGGTGAACTTTGTAACTCATACAGCGAGGTGAAGGAGGGAAATAAGACTATAATCAAATTCAGTTCAAACAATTTAGTGATCTGTCAGCAGCTTAAGAAAAAAGAGAAAATGCCCCCCAAAACTATCCGGACGGCTCTGGCAGACATGCTGGAGGACTTGTCAAAGGAGGACTTTGCGAAGTTCCGCCACCAGCTGCTGGACCGCAGAGAGGAGCCGCGGGTCAGACGCAACAGGGTGGAGGGGAAAAGCTACTTGGACATCGTGGACGTCCTGGTTGCAACGTTTACTGAGCCTGGAGCTCTCGAAGTGGCTGTGGAGATACTGACACAGATTGACTGCAACCAGGCGGCACGGGCACTCGGTGAGATCGCTGTATTTCCGCAGTTAATTAGACATTGGACTAATTAGGCCGCAGTATATTTAGTGCTATGGAGAACAGTACGATATGAAGGTTGTTTGTGAACCACATAAGATCATAAGATGTAGTGGCTGACAAGCAAAAACGCAAACTTATTTCTGTTCAGACACACCTCTCTCTTTTACTTTCAGTTTTAAACCCGCCAAAACGTCTGAAGCTTTACATGAAAGATTATAGACTTACATTAACAGAGCCTGGCCAATAGAAATCTCATATGTGTCCATTATAAAGATCCAGACAGGCTTAGGGAGTAACAGATTACATGTAACTAAGATATGTAATCAGGATACGATAAAAGGTGCACTGTAATCCATTGCAGTTATAGAAGAAAAGACGTAATCAGATTACAGTTACATTTAGTAACAAATGGGGATTATTTAGCAGAATTACAGTTTTAAGATGCATCAGTTTTTCTTTAAAAATACACTTAGAGGACACATTTTTAGTTTTACAGAATACACCTGCGTCAACACTTCTTATTGGCGTTTCTTTTCTCTTGTTTTCATTTGCATATTTGGTATTGAGGTCATCCAAAAGTAACATTTTTAACAGGTAATTAGTAATTTTAAAGGATTACAATTTTTAAAGTAACACACCCAACCCTGGATTTTTGGTGGTGGTTTTACAATGAACCCCTGCAGAAATTTGTGTAAAAGAGTAATTTGGATTAATTCTGAGCAGATTATTTCCTGTTTAGGGAACTTTTGATATAATTCTCCGTCTATTTTAGGATTTTTATAATTATTTTTTAACAATCATACATACTATATAGTCTTATTTTTGACAAACTTTGTGTTTTCTTGTCCCTGGCGCTTGGCCATTGTTCTATTAGACCATTTACTTTACATTTACTTTTCTCCACAGAGGTGAATCAGATGCTAAGATAAAGGCCTACTGTGTAAGTTTCCTTACACACCTTAGAATCAAGAAGGCCTCATGACCCCCTGTGAAGCTTTGGCAACCCATAGCGGGGGTCCTGAGCCCCAGGTTGGGAACCACTGCCTTAAACAATGTAGGTTTTTTTGATTTAAACATATCACTATCAAAACAGTAGCGGCAGCAACAACTTCTAATTCTACTTAATTATTTGGCATCATTAACACTGATGTTACGATAAAATTAAATTATGGGATAACACCGCTGCTTATGAAACACAGTCACAACTTATTTAATCTCGGACAACATATCTCACCTGTCCAGTTGTAATATAAAACCACACCCCAGCTACACAGCTGGTGAGGCTCAGACTAGTGCGTAATCAAGAGTAAACAGTGTGCAGGAAATCTGTCAGTGCTTTTCAACATATGTTTCTGTTTTTACAGTCCAGGAGACAACCGGACAGTAGACATCTTGTTTTGATGGTAAGTTGACCTGCGGAGAATTGCTTTTCCTGCATGCATTGAAGTTGTTGACATGTAAAGCAATGTGTAAAGTAGAGTTGCTCTACAGAATTCTTTTTTGTGTGTATATATATATTATATTTTTCAGCTGCAAGGTGGGAGACAGTACATTGACTGATTATGAACCCTCTCAGAATGTACCTATACATTCATTTCTATTCTGCATATTGTGTTAGATATTGTATATAAGTACTATTCCCCCCCCGGATCATTAAAGTATTTCTGATTCTGAAATTAGTAATTTTGTCACATTAAAGCTATAATCCTTCAGATTTTCATGAAATCAGACACTATTGTTGATACTATTTATGCTCTGTATTTTTCTGCAACTGCCATTTTATGTATTTACATTCAGTAATTACCTCTCTAGAGTTCTTTCCTTGTTCATTGTGGAGTCCACCATTTCCGTGCTGGATTCAAATAGCCTTTGCATGCACAAATGATTCAAAAGAACTATACAGCATGTAATCCATCTTGTCCGTGTTACAATTTCAGCGGTTGAATTATCGGTTTTGACATCGTTAATGTTTCAAAAAGCAAGAATTTTAGATAAAGAAAATTGCAGTAAAACCTTTTGCGATAAAAGCTTAAAAAACAATCAATGTCATTCTTTCTCCTCAGGAAAACACTCGATGGAGCGTGTGCTCTCACTCAGGAAGAGAACATTGTTGCACCATATTGGATCAACTGTCCGGCCAGAATATTGTCATACAAGATTGTGTACAGAAATCAATCTGAAAGATGTTAAAGTTGTGTATTGTGTCATCATAATAAAGTCTTTCTTGGGTTGCTTTTACTGTGTCTACAGGTCTTTGATAAGTGAATATTTATTTGTTAATATTTATTAATACTGGTCTTGGCAGGTATTTTAAACAATACACAGGTACTATATATTTCCACATTACATTTGTATGTTTTATTGACTTTCAACTGTATCCAGGCTATAATGAGGGCCTGACACATTCATTTGTTTGATCTGTTGTTCATTTTTACATAATATTTTCCGAAGAAGAGGCCTGCATCGCAAATTCCCCTAGAACATGTACCTTTAATGGTTTTGTGTGTTCATACGTTAAGCAATAAGGCATCATTTACAGTGTAAGAATTGTAATAAAAAAGGTTTATTAATGTTGACAAATGATGTAATAATCAAGTCAATCTTATTTATACATCTCAAAATCCCAAATTTGCTGCTGAATTTAAGATGTTTTGAT